GTTCCACAGGGCAGAGCTTTCACTCCTGAGAGCGAGCCTTCCTAGACTTTAAAGGATGACTTATCATCCTTAGAGAGAGAGATGTCTTACAGGAAGAAGAATTTCAACATTTCAAAACACATGAATTTTAAAAATTCATGCCAGAAAGTAAGGAAACTGTTAAGCTTATGTCAAAAGAACTCAAGAGCCGATCTGAAGGGGTTTTAACTGGTTAAACATGGGACAATTCAAGATTTCAAAGGAATAATCATAACCGAAATAGACCAAAAACACCTGAGTATATTAGAAAGATCCATGAATTCCTAATAATACTGAGGGACCTCGTTAGTCACCTATGGAGGATGCTAGAGAGAAGTGACTTGTTATTTTGAAAACAGCTTTTTAACAAAGAAAGAATTTTCCTGCCTTTCTTGTACAAATCACACCTCAGGGAACCACATAGTTGTTGAAGAGAGTTTTTCTTTACAGAAGAACTCTAAATAATAGATAAAGAAGGAATGATAGAATTCGAAAATTACCATTTTGGAAATTCTAATGACATAATGAATCTCGGCCACGTTCCTCAATGACTGTTAACACCATAAAAGCATCGTCATGTGTGAAACATTCTTGCTATGAAATAGCCCCTGAATCTGATCAAAACCAACTGGCTGTTTACAGGGAACAGAGTGGAAGAAATTCATTCTTTTTTAACGGAGGTACGGGGGATTGATCCCAGGACCTCGTACATGCTAAGCACATGCTCTACCCCTGAGCTATACCCTCCCCCAACACTTGGTTTCTTCAATAAGTAAATTGCAAGGGGAAAAAAAGGAAGGAAAGAGAACTAATAGACTAAAAGAGACCTTTGAGACATTTCAGTCAAATGTAATGCTTGGACCTTGTTTAGATATCAATTTGAAAAAAACAACACAACAAAACTTTCAATGAATTAGACAATCAGTCATGCATGAATAGTGGCAGAAGGCTTGATGGCATTAAGGATGTGGAGCCAGTATTCTCAACTGTGATGGCAGGCTTGTAGTTCTGTTCCAGAAAGGTTCCTTGTCCTTCAGAGACCAGGCTGACAAACTTTGGGATGAAATGATGTTTGGGGGAGGGTCCCACAGGGACTTTCTTCAGCTCCAGGCACTTTTGCCTCCTGGGGCCCCTCCTAAAAATGTTATTGTTTTCTGATGTGAGAAATAAATGAAAATATTTCTTTCAGTCTTACAAGTTCATTTTTTCTTCTGACTTTAAAAGAAAGGAAAACATCTCGTAGGCTCTTAAAGTATCTCAGGTCCTCACATTATGCTTGCTTTGCCTGATGGATGGTGAGCCCTGTCTGGGATTTGCTTCTGAAGGATCCAGTGGTGGTGGGGTGGGTGGCGAGAAAGGGGTG